AGTCATTCACTGACAGCCCAGGCTCTGGAGGAAACCTGCAGTGTTCCCATTTGCCCTGATTGCTCCATCCCCTCTTAAACTCTTGGAACACTGTGTTCTGCCTTCTGGGCCAGACCTGATTTGGCACCGACAGCTTGTCTCTGTCCCCCTCCCTCATCCTCAGCCCCAGTCTGTCTTCTCTGTTCACACCTGACCTAGTTATATGCAGCTTTGATCTGGGAGAGACCCAGCTGCCTCCTTTTTTTCCCAATGAGGATAAATTCTCACGTACAACAGGACCCTCTTTCCTGAGGTGTCTACTAGAAACGACAGAGCAAGATCAAGGCACTACTGGAGGAAACCCTGCAAAGAGAAGAGAAGGACGGTGGTACTCACACAGCAATGGGATCCAGCTGGCAGATAGACATCTGGCATGGAAGGGACTGCCACTCCAGCCAGAAGCACGAGACACTCACCAGCTTGCATGGCACTCCCCCTTCTGGTCTGCAAGATGCCTTGGAGCTTTCTCAGTGTACCGTGGTCATCTGGCCCGTGCACCTCATGGTAGAGCTGGGGACGTTACTTGGAATTCCTCATACTTATGAGACTTCCTGCTGGCAGTTCCTTTCTGGGATAACTCTTCCATTTGGCTCCTGTAGTCATCCTTTTCTCTGGGCTTGGGGCCCATCAAGTCCTGTTATTTTCCGGGATGAAGAATTTATAGTTATCCTTGGTACATTGCAGTAGTAGTAGTAGAAATGCTCAAGAAACGCTGAATGAATGGATGGAGCTAATTAGTTCAGCTGTCATCCCACTAAAACCCTACTGTAAATTCTCTGAACCACACTCTGAAATGTCCATCTTGTCCAGTCTGTGCCACTAGCTTTGGAAGCTGCAACATGTTTGAGAGCCACAAAATGAGTTCAAGGCTAGCCTGGGCAACTTAGTGAGTCGCAAACTAAAAGGGGGAAAGAAGGCTGAAGGCAGAGCCCGGTGATAGAGTGCTTGCCTGGCATGTGCAAGGCCCTTGGTTCAGTCCCCAATACTAAAAATATACAAGCTCCTCTCAGGAGTAAAATCCCGGACCCTGATATGAACCCAAAAGCCAGATGTCTGTTTCAGTCATTCATCCTTCCAACTGAAACAAGAAACACTGCTAAGTTTCTGCTTCCTGCCATCCATGTCTTTGGAGCCAGGGTCACAGGGAGGAACAAGAAAGTACCATGGTGGAAATAAACCTTGGTTCATCTATAAGCAGTGTTTCTTAAAGTTAGTGCTGTTACATCCTTGAAGGGACCCTTCCACGCTGCAGTGTGAGCTGGCTTCCTCTTTCCCTAGGGTAGAGATGGTAGCTCCTTGTCCAAAGCTCTCACCTGCCAGGCCAGGGACCTGGGGCTCAGCGTTTGCATTGCCTGTACCTGTGGCTGCTGAGTGTTGTATTAGACTTTTAGAGCTTCTACTTCTTCAGTTTAATGAGTAGTACATAATATGTTTTTATGGCATTTGAGAAATAATTTCTGTTTATGCAACTGTTATTAAAAAAGTGTTTCCTTTTTAAAAAAAAGAAAAACTAATCCTTTCCTCCTTTCCCACTCCCACACTGAATCCTGGACCCTTTGAGGTCCAGCATAGCTTGTGTTAATTCCTTTCTAAGCCCCTGCAATCACCGTGCAGATTTCATTAAACCTCATAGTCTCTTCCTGCTTACTGATGCCTCAGAAAAGGCGAAGCAACCCCTGTTCCATACTAAACATTCTGCTCAGGAATATACTGTCTTTTGTCTCCATTGCTTAGTATTTATCTATTTGGCCTCGAGATAGAAAGCAGACAGGCGTCTGTTCTGTTCGAACTAAAGGCAACCTCCAGCACCAGGCTCCCATCTCATTTGTGAGAAACATCTGTTTATTATAATGCACAGGGCTCCAGTTTCAGGGTTTGCAGTCCTGAGCAGCTCCAGCCTTAAATCATCCCGTGTTGGCAAACAATAGTGAAGGCCAGGCCAGGAGAAAAACAGATGTATGGGATGAGATTAAACAAAGAGCACAAGCAAGCCAGCATTCCCACCCCTGGTGTTTGTGGCTAATGTGCTCACCTATGGAAGCAAGTGTTTCAGGGGCTGTAACGTTGATAGCCTTTGTGCCCTGGAACTTCTTTAGGATTGTCACCTATGTCAGCAGAAGACTGTGTGTGTGTGTGTGTGTGTGTGTGTGTGTGTGTGTGTGTGTGTGTGTGTGTTAATTTTATGGGTACATTTTTAGATGTAGTATCCTATATTAGATAATTGTGCCGTGTGCTGGTAGCCAAGCTCGGTAATGTGTAAGAGTTTCCCAAGTGGTACGCTTTTGAAGGCATGGAGGGGTCATGAAGAGCAGCTGAGGCTGTGTACCATGTGAAGCCAGGAGAGGCCATTACTGAATGTGTAGCATCATTTGAAAGAGGAGCAAGCCACTAAGCATCATTCCTCCATGGTCTCTACATCAGTTCCTGCCTCCAGATTTCTGCTTTGAGTTCTTGTACTGACTTTCCTTGATTATGCACTGTAAGCTAAAAGATGAACTAAACCCTTTTTTTCCCCAAGTTGCTTTTGGTCATTGTGTTTTAGCAGTTATAGAAGAGTAAGTAATATAGCAATGAATCAAGTTGAGTCACTTTAAATTAGAACATTGAAACCTTCATACATTCTTAAATATGGAGCCAGACCTGGGCCCTTGCTCCAGCTCTGTCATTTGTCTGCTTAATGATGTAAATGCTTTAAATGTCCATTTCTTTGCCTATGAGGCATCATGACACAGTGAAACCTTATGATGAATTTATGAATCACCAGTTTGGGTCTCATCCTTGTCCATTTCTAAACCTCTTTGTCTTCTCAGTATCACTGTTCTGACCCCTGTTGTCACAGAATTGTGGAATACTGGAATGCCATTGTAGTTGGAATGCAACACACATGCCACACACCCAAAATAAAACCATCTGACTTCAGCCAGGCTAGTAGACTGAAGTTACAGATCAGGGCTACATTGCTTAAACTGTTCCACCCAGGGAGAGGTCCCACATGTCCACAGTAGTTAGAGGACTCCTGTGTCTTTTCCCTGAAAGGAAAAGACTGGCCTTCCACATCTTCAAGTTTCTATATAAACTGCATCATTGCTTTTGTTGTTAGGTTTATCTAATGGCTCAGCAAGCTAAGCAAAGAATAAAGCCATATACAGGGCCAAGGTTCCTATGTCCATGAGAACTCAACAGGAGAGGGGCTCATGCAGGTCAAAGGGCAAATACCTAAGAGACAGGGAAACACAGATGATGAAGGAGTAGTTTAGTTTCTTCCTTGCAGTGTGGTAAACAGTCATCATATCCTCTCTTGGTGTGATGTCTGCTTAGCAACTTTATTTTACTAGAGAGAGAATTGTTTTCTACAAAGAGAAAAATCCCCAAGAGAGGCATCTCCTTTGTACCTAGTTTTGCAAATATCCCTGTGGTTAGAAATGGCTTACTTTATTTTTTAGTGATAGATGTATCAGATCTATTTGTCACTGTCACATGTAGAATGATGCTTTAAAGTGTTAGAATGTATGTACACATGGAGAAGTGGTTCCATTTAACTACCCATGGATCTCCTCATATAGTTGTCATGTTCATGGATGGTAAGAACCTTCAGTATCTACCTCCATTTGCCACAATGTTTCTTATTAGAAACCATAGTCATTAACATGGACAGCAGATCTCCAGAACCTGCCATCCAGCTCTAATTATCTTATCTTTTGACCAACCTCCTACCCAGCCCCACCCAGTAGAATGACAAACACCCTTCTACTGTATCCTTCTATTAATTAAATTTTATTTTATTTTTTTTTTTAGATTTTGTGATAAGGCACTTGGTTGTATTTGTAATCCTGGCTTATTGCTCTTAGAGGGCATCCATAATGCCAGGAGTCCTTTTTATTGCTGGCTAGTACTTCACTGTTCACACACCACAGTTACTTAATCCTCCTCACACATCTGGGTTGACTTCCCATCCTGGCTATTGTGACCCATGCTGCAGTGCACATGGGGGTGTAGATGTCTCTTAATTCATTCCTTTTGGATATATATACCTACCGGTGGGATCACTAGGCCCATGATAGTTCTATTTGTACCGATTTCCATAACGGCTACATTTATTTATACAAGGGCTCTCTTTTCTCTATGTCCTTGGCAACACTTATTATCCTTTTAAAATCCTTGTATATCACCTTTGACATTATTTGCTTCATTGTCACACTCAGAAATCAATTCAGCATTTTATATGGGAAATCTATCCTCCTTGGCTCTGTTTAGTTTTGTAGTTGTTTTTGATACAGGGCATAAAATCTTCAGAACGATGGGCCAAATGTTTATTGATAGAATAAAAGGAAGTAAATGTGATTATATAATAGAAATTCAGAAATATATATAGCTAATTTTATACCTGCATGCCTCTAACCCAGTCATAGCAATTATAATCACTCTTTCGTGTCAGGCCCCTTCTCCTAGGAGAAATGGGTTAGGTGGGACCCAAGTGATCGTTATGAAGCATGCACATATAAATTGAACCTTCCCAAATGTAGGTCACTTGGGCAAGAAGGCACTTTTGATAAAACTAGGCTGACAATTAGATTCGTAGGGCACTTCCGTGCTAATACTCTTTTCATATCCTAAATCATAAGACAGTGTAAACAATACCCTAACATTAAGGAACAGAAAATTGCATTCCCAGTAACAGCAGAGCTTCATGGCACATGGTTTCACACTTTATTATGCTGTGTTCTGTTCTGCTGCGCTAATATTTTAAGTACTATAATTCCCTTTTTTGTATAATTGTAGGTTCTTCATTTTCCTCTTTCCCGCCCTTCACCTTTCTAGAATAGCTTTCTGTAATGCTCCATCATATGCCAAGAAGAACCCTTGAAAAAGAGAAAATGTAAAGTCAGACTAATCTGTGCAGGACAGAGACACAAACAGAGTGAAAAATCGCTAGCCAAAGTGTTGTCTTGTGTTCTTTGCAGACTCCATCTGTGTGCCGGGCTTTGATCCAGGCCTCAATATGATGACTGGAATCACCCCCATTAACCCGATGATACCAGGCCTGGGGCTGGTACCACCCCCACCCCCAACAGAAGTGGCTGTTGTCAAAGAAATAATCCACTGCAAGAGCTGTACTCTGTTCCCCCAAAATCCAAGTAAGTAGAAGCGAGAAGTGTGGGCTTTGTCCTTTGAAATAGTGTTGTGTTCATTTTCAGATGTGAAATGTTTGTTCTCCCCAAGGCCTTCACCTCTATGTTAGGAAATGACCACAAGGGTGTGTTCATGCATCTGTCCAGCCCCTGAGAGTTTATGTAGAACTTTAGGAATCTTTTCTTTGTGCAGTGAACTAGGAATTTCTGGAACGCATCATGTGAAATCTATCACCCTGTCTAGCCCTTCACAAAAGGGAGAAAAAGTCTAATGTGTTTTGTTGGTAGAAATTTGAATTAATCTGGCAGTGGGCAATTTGGGCAAAAGGTGAGGGGCTAAGGGAGGAATTTACAGCTCAGAATTTTGGGGCCAAATCACACTCACTTAAACGACCTATATATTTGATTAAATTTAGCCTCGGATACTAAGTTTATAGGCTTAAATAGCTAGAGTTTTTAATTCATATTAATCAGCGTTGCCTATTGGAAGTGGACTTTTGAGGAGATTGCCTTAGTAATCTACATATAAACTAGGCAAAATGTTGTGACAGCATACACTTTATCTTTTCATACGGCCTCCTCAGACTTTAATAGTGTGCTCATTTAAATGTGAATAATAACAGAGGTTTTATTCAGACTCAGCATTTTGCAGCCAGGTAAGTATTGTCACATGCTCTCATGGGCTGTGTTTTCCTCTTTCTGTGATGCCGCCTCTTTGTCTGGCCAGAAGACAAAGCGGTAACAAGCCAGGGTTTTTCATCATGTTGTCATTTCATCATGTTTTGTGCTTTGTGAAGCTTTCTCCCCTCCTTTTTAATTTTTTTTTTAAATTTTTCTGGGTATCTGTGTTATGAAAGAGAAATGACATTATGGTAACGTGTGTTATCTTTTCCTCGGACAAGCATAGGCACTCTGTGGAAGTGGGCATGGGAAATACAGGTTGGAAGGGTGAGGGGAGGAGATCAGGAAATATGACAACCAAGGGGAAGGATGGCGTGGGAGTGGGGAATATAAATTGGGGTAAAAACTGACTGTGCCTCAGTCTGGAGAGAACTCTGCAAGCCTAACTTTTGCCCAGTGAACGTAGTAAAAAGCCAATCAATAAAAGACAAAACTCTGTGTTTCATTGTGATATTAGATCTTCCACCTCCTTCCACAAGAGAACGACCTCCAGGGTGTAAGACTGTGTTTGTCGGAGGATTACCGGAAAACGCTACTGAAGAAATTATTCAAGAGGTCTTTGAGCAGTGCGGAGATATTACAGCCATCAGAAAGAGCAAGAAGAATTTTTGTCACATTCGCTTTGCAGAGGAATTCATGGTTGATAAAGCCATTTATCTTTCTGGTACTTCGCTTTACAAAAGGGGTTTGCTAGGCATTTTGTCCTATTTTGTGATGTTAATATGAGCTCATTCCCTTTTGCTTAATGCACTGTAAGTCCTAATAGTTTGGGGCAGGGGAAGGAGGTATTCGCCTTTTAGCTTGGCTGCCATGTGCTCTTGTTAAGCCCCGTGCCTCTCCACAGGCAGGATTTGCTACCATCCAGTCTTGAGGAATTCCACAGAGTTTCTAATTAATGTTCTCAAGTGCATATTAGATGAAAAGCAATATTTTCAGTACCCAGGACCATTATTATTACTGGATGTAATCCTCTGGGGGAGTAAAGTACTCTCTCAGAATAATTTCATTTTTTAAAAGTGTTTTTACAATCTTCACCCCAGGGATACTGAAGCAAGATCCCCTCCTTACAGGGCATTTGTTCCTGAGTCTGTGATAGGTCCACTGTCATCGCGCACTTGCTTTAGTTTGGCACCTGCTCTACCATCCTTATCCTTAGGGCCAGGTTTTAGGAGAGTTTTAAGAATGTTAGAAGGAAGCCTAGTGCTGCCTTCCACTGTGTGGATATTTATTTGGACAAGTAAGTAGAGTCAATGCACAAAACCTCAGTCAAATCAAAAGATAGGGAGGCTAATATTGACATGTGACTTTAGAAGTGTTTATTTTTTAGATTCCACTCACTGCCCTTTGCTCATACTCCTGTGACATTTGTGCGGTGCATCACTCTGCAAGCCAACTACCTAATTCTGAGCAAAGGTAACCTGGGATGCAAGAGTCAAATAAAACAGGTGACCACCACCACCAGGTTTCCTAAAGTCTTCAGCCAGCCTCCACCGCCGTAGCCTTCTGTGTAAACTCCAGAAGTGCTGAGGCTATTTCAACACCTCAGAGACTTTCTTGCCCTAGACGGGGATCCAAAGAATATTAAAACCCTTACTGGAAGTAAGCAGACAAAGTGAAAAATTAAGTCTGACCATCCCACACTGGAAATGAAAGGCAGACCCAGAATAATAAAGAATAATAAAGGTGTTTTGTAGTGCACACCCATCGTTAGACCCTTGGGAATCCTGGAGAGGAGGGCGCAGACTTTCTGTCTCCTTCCACTGCAGAATAGCCAGTTTACCAGCCCTTGCTTTTAGATGGAGTCAATCTCATGAATATGAAGTGCAGTGTGGGAACCACTGGGTGTGGGATTGTTTTTAACCAAACAACCCTGGCCCGGGTAGAGATAGATGGATGCTTCTTCACCATCAGTGCCTGCCTGGAAATCTGGGTTTTGGTCACTACATTCAATTAAACTATGACTGGTCCCTAAGACTGTAACTTCATCTCAGGTATTGAAGAAGAGGTAGGTGAATGGTGCTTCTCAGAACTAACACAATTCAACTTGAAGACACTAACAAAGATGAACAGGGCCAAACATACACACACGGAGAGGTGGAGACTTAAACTTAGAGGTCCCACCTGGAGCCTCCCCTGCCGGGTGCAGAGAGGTCTCCACCTCGACTAGGGTAGCCTCAGCTGCAGAAGAGCTGAGGAATTCTGAAAGCACAGCTAACTGGGGGTGAGCACAGGAAGGAGAGCAGGTTGCCCCTCCTCTGTGTCATCTCCTGCAAACCCAAACCCAGCTGGAATGCCTAATTTTAGGACCACTTTCACATTTGAGGGCCAGGCTAAGTTTAGCCTCAGCCTCATCAGTGCCTTTTAAGGCTGTAATGATGATGTTCCGAGGAGAGAGAGGACCAGAAATGTAGCAAGTGATTCTCTGGCTACAAGCAGGGGAAGTTGTTCAACCAACTGCGAGAGCCGGCCAGTACCTGGCCTGCTGCTGTAACTCTCTGCAGCCCACCACCAAGACACTTTGCTTCAGCATTAATTCTGCCCACATGTGGGTGACCAATTGCATGACTGATGGGTATTGTTATATTAGGTTTTTAGATAATGCTGTGGAAACCTAGAAGAGAGTTCAACACAGACGAGATCTGTAGCAGATTTGTAACTTCTCAAAAGTGTCAAGTGCCCTGCTGGGGAAAATCCAGCCTCCACGGGGATTTGTAGCTGTGCTCTGACCCCAAATGCTATGGTTACCCGTTGAAGTGTACCATGGCATGGTGCACACAGCACAGCAAAGCCTAGAATTTTCCACTTGCATCTTATTTACAAAGTCCCTGCATGGCAAAGGTGCTTAATTTTGCTTTCTCCTCTAGCAGTCCCTGGCAGACATGCTCCCACTAAGATGTGAATTTATGTTGTGAAAATCTGAGAACTTCAAGCTGAAGAGCAACCTCACAGTCACCCCCCCACCCCCAGTTGAAGTCAGGCTATCTGGCTGCATTCCGTCCTGTGTTGACCTCTCACACACCTACCCATGTTGGGTAGCTCACAGTAACCCCACTACCACCACCATTATTCCAGGTCCACTTTTTATTTTTTTTTCCCCTGACCTAGCTTTGGGCTCTTGCACAACCCTCTTGAGGCCTTCAAAGATTGCATGGACAATTTTTTGTGGTACTGCAGGCTGGATGAGGTGCTATGGGGCCTGTTGATTAAAGGTAAAATACTCTCCTCCATGCCCCCAGGGGATAAGTGGAAATAAAACAGCATTGCGGAATTGCCTGGGTAATTGTGGCTTCTGTAGCGGCTGAGAGAAAACTGAACGAGCAGTGTTTGCTAGGGGAATGAAGCGGTAGGCTGTGAGTAAAGTTCTGGAATTTACCTTGCAGGTCCCTTTAAATATCAGAGACGCTCATTATTTACTCATACTCTGCCTCCTTCCAAAAAGAATTTCCGAGTGTTTAGCAATAGAGTTATAGTACATTAAAGGAACAAAAGCTCAAAACAAAACAAAAAACAAAAAACAAAGCCAGCAAGACCAGGTTTAGAGGTTTAGAGAAAAACCTACGAATGCCAAATTTGTTTCTGAACTCCCTAGAAGCCAAAGGGAGGGAGGAATGGTCAGAATTCAGGGCGTAGGTTCTCAGTTGGTGATGCTGGATGACCCCCCCCCCCCAGCATGGTGAGGGTCTCTCTGAGAAACTTCTGGGGTTATCTCCACATCAGTGTTTCCTGGTAAACTGGTTGGAAAGACTCCTGCTTCCCATCTCCTAGAGGGAAAGGTATCCACTCCTGTCCAGAGGCCAACGAAACAAATGCATGGTTGCCTAGCCTGTGGGAAACCTGGACCAGAATGTGTGTCCCCTGAGCTGAGGTGACATGGCTTTCCGATGCTTTTAGGTTACCGGATGCGATTAGGGTCTAGCACGGATAAAAAGGATTCTGGCCGCCTTCACGTCGACTTTGCCCAGGCCAGGGATGACTTTTACGAGTGGGAATGCAAGCAGAGGATGCGGGCCAGGGAGGAGCGGCATAGACGCAAGCTGGAGGAAGACAGGCTGCGGCCGCCCTCGCCACCCGCCATCATGCACTACTCAGAGCACGAAGCTGCCCTGCTGGCAGAGAAGCTGAAAGGTAAGGAGGGCTCCCACGGGGGAGGTCTCTACTAGCTTAGCTGCTACTTGATGAAAGAGTAAGGAGGCCATCTCCAGATGCCCCATCCCAGTGTGCCCGGTCCCCTGAAGGCTACTTGCACGTGGGAGGGAGCTGGAATCTGCAGAGCCCTGGGTGCCATCATCCTGCTAGGGAAAGAGCTGTTACTCTGTGAAACTCTCTGTATGAAGGGCAGAAGGGCAGGCAGCCACAATCCCAGCAGCAACCTGTGGTCCCCAGCCTGTGCTTAGTGAGCCAGGGCAGAGGCCTCACCTATGAGTCAGCATTTTCTAGTGCTGAGTTCTGTGGCATGTCCACTAGACACTGAAAGCTTTTTCCAGACAGCTTTCCATAGGATGCTAGCAAGAGAAAAGAAAAATGTAGGCAGGCCCGCTCTCTTCAGAGATAGAGTTGAAGGAGCCATTTTCAGGCCTACAAAGGATTGACAAGAAAGGAGGGGGAATTCTTTACTTTCTGCTGGGGCCTCCCCTGGGTTTGAGGGTGGAGCCAATAAGGATCCAAAGAGATGAGGAGCAGACCCACTGAGCTAAGGTTTGAAATTAGTGTGTGTGTGGTGGTGGTGGTGGTGGTGGGGTGCACTTGTGTGTGTCCCTGTGTGTGCTTCAGTCTATTAGTGTCCAAAGTGAGCAAGCTGCACGACATCTAGGCATTTTATAGGCCAGTGGTGGGTAGTGATCAGAGCTCCTGAGGTTGCCGGTTAATGTCAGGACCATAGCAGGTCACAGTTGCCACAGCAGGTGTTTACGAGTCAATGGGTAACTGCAAACAGATGTCCTCAATGTTAACCAAGGCAGCAACTGTGGACATAGTGGGCAAAGCTAATGTCTTCACAGAGCAGGCAGAATTTGAACTTGGCCGGATAAACAAGATTTCTCCTAAGTTAGAAAGTTCATTAAGGCAGTCCACCGAGAGCCTGGAGCTCTAAGAACGAAGATACGCAGGAAACCATGAGGATGTGATGTGGGCACTGCATTCCTAACACAAGGTAAGGCTGGAGAGTGTCTTTACCAGATGGTGACGACTCGGGGCTGTTGTAGGCATTGATTGTATCCTGTAAACAGTAGGAGAGGGTTTCACAGATGTCTGATGAGAGGAGAGCTGTGATTGGTCCTCAGGGTTTTCAAGCCTTCCTCGTGTATTATCAGCAGTATCTTAAATGGGCAGGATGATCTTACTGCAGAAAATGAACAAAAAACTGCCCATCACCAATTGTAGGAAGGTTGGAAATGGCATTCTCTGCTTTGTCTACAAAGCAGGGCATGTGCTTCCAGCCATCATCCCTGTCGGGTCTGGAGACGCCTAATTAGCTACAGTTGCCACCGAGCTGCCCCTCTCCAGCCACTGAGCGTTGTCCACTGGCTCTCCTGGTACCTGCCGAGGCACTCCTAGAAGGCCCATAATATAGGCATTAATAAGCAGATAGAGGCTGTCCCTTCAATAAGAAGCATATGCAATGCAAATTCAGCCTTAAAAGTATTAGGAGAGTACAGAATAAGAAAGAGCATCACTTATAACCAGGAATACTCATTGGAATAAGTACCTTTTTTGTTAATGTCAATTGAATTTCGTGGTACCATCGTGTGGTCTCTGTGACCTGACTATTTTCAGGCCCAGCAGGCTCAGTCAGTAGAGTGCAAGACTCTCAAGATGGGTTCAATCATGGCCATACCTTAGTTCTGTACTACATGGAGGAATTTCATGAAGGTTTGGCATCTACATTATGTTATTTTTATGAAGCGAACATCAAAAGTGCCAATTGCATGTATAAGGTACATGACATTTGCCTCTACTTTTGGAGGATAGCAGATTGGCATGTCAATTTGCTAGAGTAATTTGTGAGCCTTGCCATTTCAAAAATGTATATTTATATAGATGAGTATAATTTGCAGAATTCGGAAGCTGTACCTTTGCCAAGTACTGTGTGATCCCTTGAGGAGAGAACAGATTGGAAATTTTAATAGATGGCTCTTACAGTAGAATGAACTAGCTGCAGATACATCTTAGGCAAGAGTCAGGTAATACCAAGCTTGACAATTTCAACCCAAGCACAGAGTTTGGAATATAAACAGCATTTAATTGCTTAGGAAATTGGCTGCCTCCGAGAGGAAATCCACTCTCTGCTCCTTAGAACACTGTAAAACCAGGCAGGGGGAGCCAAGGAAACAGTTTCCCTGAACATAATTTCACTGATGTGCAGATATAAAACGCAGTCAAGACGGAAGGTACAGAAACCTGTGTCAGAAAGGGATTGGAAATGCAATCTGAAAATACCTAATTGGATTTGATTTTTTTTCTCCTCTGAGAAGCCTTGCAATCTTTAGTTTATTAGGTATTTATCTCCCCTTTTACGCTGTGTGTGTTTATTCTTGTGATTTTGATCTTGAAGATCACTCACATTCAGCAAAATCTGTATCAATCAAGTCTTATTATGACCTGCAAGGCTTTCCACATTGTTGCACACAGTAGGTGTGTTGAGCAAGTTAATTCCTTTCTCTCTTCTCCAAGTATTTGAGTATGTGACCATACTGCAGTTCTGGCCATTAGGGCTATTAGGCATGGCTGCAAATGAGAGAGGTGATCCTGTTCCGCCTGCTGCTAGTCAAGGAAGAAGTATTTGCTTAGTGTTTTACAAATACCTGGCACTGGATATTGGTGCTAGGTACTGGGGGAAGAGCAAAACACCATGCCAGCTCCTACCTCATAGAATCTAGCTTTCTTGGGCAATAGAGAAAATGGCCAATCATCCTGCACTTGCTACTTACAAGAGTGGGTTGTGATACATATAAGTACTATTAGCAGCAGTGTGCAAGAGGCTTTCTCTACAGAGACAGCCAAACCAGTGAGTGAGGCCACTAGCATGAGAGAAGCGGGCAGGCGCCTTCCGGGGCCAGATTTCCTCATCTACTGGCTGCTTAGCTTTCTGAAGCCAGAGGAAACACTGAGTTGTGACTGTGTAGTCTGAGGCACAGAGTCACTGGCATCAGTTTCATTAATACAAATTCTAAAACAGAAAATCAGTGGGCACCCTGCTGATTAAATAGACATTGTTGTGAGACAATTCAACTTAATGAAGACTGACTGGGAAGTAACTGAGCAGGGACCTGAAGTTTATGGCATGGCTTTGGGAAAGCAAGAAGGAGCTCAATAGCACCATAATTACACTTTATTGGAAACAGTGGCACCAGGCAGATGAGATAATGAATTCCAGTGTTTCTAACACAGACCAAGCAGCCCTGAAGGGGCCCAGGGTCTGGGCAGCACAAGGATGAGATTGATTGGACCATGAAGAAGCATTATATCTTCATTCACTGGAGATTTCTTTGGGCGAGAACATTTTAAAAGTTTTCCAGTGCTTTCTTCCCTCTCTCTCTCTCTCTCTCTCTCTCTCTCTCTCTCTCTCTCTCTCTCTCTCTCGTAAACTTCCAACAAAGTTCTCCAACCAGTGCCCTTAGGGTCCCCTCATGTGTCACTAAGAACTGAGTCCCCCGGGATTGTGCTCATAAGTTTCAAAGGACTGGGGTCATATTTGCATAAAGTATGGCCAGCATCAGTAGACAGGAGTGGAAATGGTGCTGGCATTCAAGAGATGGTTGTCAATATTTAATAGGTTCTATGAAAGTAAAAATCGATAACGCTGTGAGCCAAGTGGACATTCCATTAGCTACCAGCCAGACCTCTTCCTTCAGGCCAGGAAAATCTGAAGCATGGGGAGCCTTCTGGAGAAGCACTTTTTGGGTGTTACTGACCTTCATACAGGCAAGAGAGGCCATTTCATTTAGAAACATTTTGCTTGGCCGTGCAGCGGTAATAATCGGTACACTTTTGTATTGCCCTCTTAATTTCCCCATTTTATAAAGACTGAGTAACTGAGGAGATTGTGTGTTGGGGCAGAGGGGAGCATCAACCACTTATGTAGCCTTTAAGTGCTATTCTGGTTAACTGATGCACAGACAGTTAAGCAGTTAAAAAAATGCATATTTCTCTGGGGCAAATTCTCCTTTGAACTAGTTTTAACATCTTACTGCTTCTTCATTAATTAATGAGTTAAATAAAATCATTGGAACATGTCCAATTCGTATTTGCAAGATGCTCACGATTTCTCTACCATGGGTTCTTTAACAACCCCCAAAGTGTACCTTCTTGGAGGAATGGCGGACGCTGTCATCACAGCTAAAACCCCCAGATTGCAGAGACTGGTAACACTTGGTAAATCTCTATCAGCCTCGAAGATGGCTAATGATTGGTGGAAAGGCACCAAGGGTATTGGGTACTGTTCTTCTCCTTTGTGTGCTAAGGGAGATTCAGAACTGTAGGAAGACAGTGAGCATGGGGTAGGAAACTTAGGTAGGCTGCTGTGCCTTTATTTATGGCTGGGTCTATAAAAAGATAATAGGAGAAGTCCCATGATTGAACAGCAAAAAAATAAATAGATAAAAATATAAAGATATTCCACAACACTGCTTTGTTTCTTCTCAAAGAAATAGACACTGATTTCTGGCAGTGGTGGTAGCTGGAAATTCTTCATGTAATTTGCTTTACAAAGATTTCAACTTTGACTGAAAAAAAAATCCCTTGCATTGTTGTAGAGGAGAATTATTTGCATCATTCGTTTCCACGATTTATGTTCTCCAGCTCAGAGTTGTAAATGAGCTTAGTCAGACAAGCCAGAGTACACACCCCAGTGAAGGGGAAAGAAGGATGTGGGGCGTGGCTAGTCCACACCCAGTGTCTCACTGAGAGATCCACTGTGATCTCTGTGCCACTTCCAGGTCTTAGATAACCTTTTTCTTTCCTGGTTGGCAGTGACAATTATTCTTTTATTGAAAGTGGGGATTTAGAGGCAGATACTCGAAAAGCTCATAAAAATCACATCAAATCCTTTCAAAACTCACTTAAATTTTAGTTACTACTTTCCATGTCAGGTTTGTGTTATCTCTTAACTGAGTTTAGCTTCTAACCATTTTACCTGGCTTTCCCCAAATCATTTCTTACAGTGTGTCTGAGACTTCCAAGCGTATACAGCGTAAGGGGTGAAATGCAGTCACGGTTGGTAGGGGTGGGGGATGTGTGTGAGAAAAGCTGAGTCTGCATTTTTAACAAGCTCACAAAGGGTGTTTTGACTTATGGACTTTGAAGAGCAGATTACCCTGCTGGCAATTTTAATGTCTGCTTTGTAGCAGGTGTTTAGCAAATGTGAAGAAAGTATACAAGATCTGAAATAGCATGGAAAAAAAAAAAAAAACAAGATGGCATGGATTCAGTTGGGGGACACTGAGTGACAAAAGAGGAGCATTATAATTACTTACTTAGCTCTCCAAAGCTAACAAATTGTTATTACCTCCCTCCAAAATTAAATTAAACATGCTTTCAAAAATGTTTTTTTAATCAACTGAAAATCCTGTTTAGACATTTGGCTGCCACCGGTACTTTCTGCTTGTCCTTGAGAGTCTGACATCACTCCCAACTTTCATTCCCCGGTGCTCATGATCTCAGAGGCCTGTTTCTCTGTCATGAGAACATTTACCTTTAGTGGACAATGACATATGTGAAAATCCTCTTTAACACAAAATTAAGCATCTTTATTATCAACTGTTGAACTGTCCACCTTGTACTCATATGTGACTTGCCTAGTATGAATCACTACATATCTTTGAGGAATAGATAAAATATGGACTGTAAATAGAAAGTGACCAGAGGGTTGCAGTGTGTTTGGGAAGTTTCTTTATAATAACAGCCACTTAAGCTGGAGGCAAAGGGTAGGTGACCATCACTGCACAGGGTGACTATGTCAGTGGAGTTCACAGTGAATGGTGGAAACAATGCAGCAAAGAGGCACTCAGTTCCCAGGTGGCAGAGACATCTTCTTTATAAAGGTGACATAAGCTGAATCTTGAATGAGTAACAACTGTCTGGGGGATGGAGAATATAAGAGTCACCAGGACAAAAGCACAGAGGCCACGCCCATGGCGCCTATCAGAATGAGCTTGGCAAAGGGACAGATACTCTAGAAGGAAAATGGCAAGTGGGGAGGGAGACTGGCAAACACATTTCCAGTAACGCAGGCAGAGGCTGATGTAGTACGAACCCTTCTTGGAACATGCTGTGTAATCTGGAATGGGCAAATGGTCCACAATCGTCCTCAGCACAGCCACTCCTCACTTGGTGCTGTGGGAAGCACGTGTGCGCATTCTAATTTCTGAACTTCCCTCTGCTCAGAGTTATGCCGAAGCATAGACAAGGAGTGTTTGGAAGTCTTATAAGTGCGTCTTTGATGTGATTTTTATGGGCAGCGTTAATTTCCTTCCACATGAATAGCTTTAATAATGCTGCAATCTAAATCCTGTTTAAATTAGTTTATATTGTTTTCTGCTTTCTCAGTGATCTTTCCACTGAATGCAAAATTGAATTTACAGTTGTGAATTGAAAATGACCGTCCTCAATATGCTCCAGTAGCCATCCAGCAGGAGTGACTGAGTCGTCGTTAATAAGTATAAACTAAAGTCACTTCTAATACGGCAACAAATGTTGACTGGCATTTCTAAGCATGCCTCAACTAACATGTTTTAAATTTAATGTGAAAGTTAGCACATCAATCATTATTAGCCTGCCAGTTTCAAAGGCAAACTTGGATGAACTTGGGAGTTTCCAAAACTATATATTTCTCTTAAATTAGCTGGATTCTGCCTACCAACACTTGCTAACAGGTGAGAAAGCCTCTTGGCTACCTACATTTTCAGTACTGGGTTTTCTGTTGTTTTGCACTCACGATGATACTTTCGATCTGAAAACTGTCCATTTGCCACTCCTTGTAACTAAACGATCCACTCATGTGTCAGTCCAAATAGTGAGGGCCACTAAGACAAGGCTTTTCACCCTGAGCAAACATGTGACTTGTGCTTTCTGAAAGAAGTTTCTATACTTAAGGAGTAACAACCAGGAGTGAGATGGAAGAGTACCCATGTACCCAGGGAAGAAACTGAGCAAGATGGGCAATCCTGCTCCTTCCTTTCTGCCTTTCCCTTATGAGCTTAAAAAAAAAAAAAGTTGAGGATTCTCCCTTTGTGCTGTGTGGAAGCTTAAGTCACAGCAAGGGTAAAATATAGCGCATAGCACATGAAGTCAGTGTTCTTTTCTGTTGTTATTTTCTTTTTAAGGGGAAAAAGGATTTCTTATAAGCATGGGGTTTACTCCTGCTGTCTGTCCCAAGGTCCATTCTCCTAACATATATTGGCAGGGAGAGAGGAGGAGAGTATGGAAGGAAGCAGAATTTATTCTGACTCTTAAGAGTCGCAGTGGGCCTCTCACAAACATAACGCTAAATTATGGGCCTCTCCGTGGGCTGAGTGTAATGTTAAGTTGCATGATGGATTTTATCTTACACAAGCTGCTCCGGTCCATGAAATGAGATAAGAACCTACTGCAGCTGGAGTTCACATTGGCTTGAACTCAGACTGAAACCCCAGAGTTCAACACAATTGCCTGAGTCAGCGTGGGTATTAAGATGGTGCTCTGTGCTCAAGAAGCATAATTTGCAAGGAAACTGTAGGTTTCCTGTGGGTGTGCCCACACCAGTTACCTCCCCCGGTTCAAGGGTGAGCACCGGTTTGATTGGGGGGATGCCAGGAAGCTTTGATCCTAAGCCCAGAAGGAAACATCTTGTCCTACATTAGCAATAGCAGCTTGGAGCCTGGAGAAGGCAGACTGCACTCCACCACCGCATCCCAAGCCAGGGGAGGCCTGCCCTATGCGCCAACCATGTCCCTGGGCAAGTAACAGTACTAAGAAAATGGCTAGGGAGGTCTCCTAAAAAAGAGGCTGAGATAACTTTAAACCACTTCCTATAAGATTTACAAAGCACTCCACAAATAACATACTAATAACCAGGTAATGGTTGGTTTTTGTTTTTGTTTTGTTTTTCTTTTTCATCCAATGAGTTTGTTTGGGTTCCTTATATGAATGTGGGTGAATGGTTACTAACAGGGTCAAGGAGGCCTCAAAGGCAGCTGTATTGCCAGAACCCGAGCCCAGCATGGGTGACTACCACAGGAGCCGCTGGATTCCTTTTTAATCATGTCAAATAAAAATAAACCTTTCTTCCAAGTCACCTTCTGTCCACCTGGAGTGTGGACATGTTTATAAACGTCAACCATACAGGAAGGGTCCCTGAAAGCCCTCCGTACCAACAGGGCCTGGATAGACGAGTAAGTGGGTAAGTATCCAGACAGTGAGATCTAGTTTTGCCCCTGATTTTGAGAATGAAAGAGTCTGTCTACCTTGCTTAAATGAAGGTGGTTTCCCTATCACATCGCTTAGAAGCAGAAACATACAAATGAAAGTTTTCTCCCCTCAATTTCGCTTAGAAAGTCCTCTGGGAGCCTTCAGCAGTGGTCACATCGATTAATGTTGTAATGGCTGGCATACAACTTCCAGGTGTAATTAACTTAATCACCCTCACACCTGCCTTCCTCCACCTCCAAGCTGTACAGCCATCCCCAAACAAGCAAGCCTATTTGTCTTCTTTGAAATAAGCTTTATCATTTATTTATAGATGCAACCTCCTTCCCCACTTCCTGCTCCCACCTGAGGCTTAAACCAAATTTAAACCGTCTTTCCAATAGCCACCCAAAACAAAGGTTGACCACCTCAGGGCACACACCCCCTTGTGTAGAAAACTAGGAAATACTCAATTTTTTCATTGTATTGAAATCCATTATATTAAACTGAAAATGAAATTACTTTGGAATTTCAGTAGAACAAGAAATGGTTTCATTTCTCCTGCCTGCTTTGGGGACAGTATCTTGTATTGCAAGAAGTTTTGAGATAATTTTCCTGTCACCCATGCATTGACTTTACTTAGCTATCTGGCTAAATAACAAAAACAGTGTACTGTCATATAGTATTTCTGATAAAGGAATAGGGGCAGGGCCAAATAGGTCTATAACAGTTTTTAAAGTCCATTTTAAGAAAGCATATTCTAAGTTCAATATGAGAATGGGGCTGAAAATCATAGCTAAGAATGCCCAGTACAGCCATGCTGATGGAGAGACAGCTGAATGAGAAGCTCTGGGTGGTTCCATGGAACCAGAGGAAGAAGAGAAAAACGATAAGCTATGGAATGACAGAGCAGTCTTCCAAGGAAAGATAATTTACCAGTTTCAGAAGAAGTGCCGCCTGGGGAGACCTCACATGTTTTGAGAACCTGGATGAAGTGGCTATTTCTTGTCTTCACCTTCCATTCCAGACGACAGCAAGTTCTCAGAGGCCATAACCGTGCTGCTGTCTTGGATAGAACGTGGGGAGGTGAATCGGCGTTCTGCAAACCAGTTCTACTCCATGGTCCAGTCGGCTAATAGCCACGTGCGCAGGCTCATGAATGAAAAAGCCACCCATGAACAGGAAATGGAGGAAGCCAAGGAGAATTTTAAAAATGCCTTAACGGGGATCCTCACTCAATGTAAGTAGCCTTGGGGGCCATCTCCTTTTTGTTATGGCTTGGCCTTTTCTTTTGTGCCCATTTTATGTTTTCATGTGGGGGTAAGTAGTTCAGAAGTCTCCCATTTTTCTCCACATTGAATGGTACACCTCATAACCGATCCATGTTCTGTGGCATGTGGAAGAGCACGGACCCTGCCCTGAGAGCTTACTCCTCAAGGTGAGCGACATTTCTGTAGCTTTTCCTCAGAACACCGTGCCTGGCCCCCAGGACAGGGCAGCCAGGCTAAGTGGATCCACCTCAGTTCACATCACACCAGCCAAGCAGCTACTGTCCACCTGCAGGCTGTCCACACAGACTTGTATGTCCGCTTGGGGCTGATAGCAGGGAATAGGTCTTGAACATGTCCCGGGGCTCTGTTTAGGGAGAAGGTACCATCTGCAAAAACCCTCCTCTGGGTCCTGGTGAGGTGAGCCTTGGCTGTCTGCACGAGTGACTTGGGAGTAGACTTTCGTCCTTTCTTCATTTGGAAAGCAAATTGCCTTAAACACTTAATACCAGTGATTTTTCATGTCTAGATCCTGAATTGATGAAGGAGCACAAATGGAGCTTTCTAATAGAACAATAGTCACGGTAATTACCCTGGGGTTTTATTCAGAAAAGGGGCGTCGACTTTTTCTGTGGCACTCTGTGTCTGTAGTTAATGTCACAGAGGCACAATGCAGCTCAGCAGCTGATGGTCTGTGGCTTGGTAAAAGCTGTTGAGTGACACCGTGACAGGGCTGCGCTCCATTCCATTCCAGGTGCAGGGACCCACACACGACAGCCACACATGCAATTTACATATTCATTCTGAAGATAAGTATTATGTGCAGTGATCCAGTGTGCCAAAATGCCCGTCACCCCTTTCATCAGTACAAACCTAGTCTGTTAGGCTAGGAAGACAGAGAGGGATGACAAGCCAGGATCCTCAATGCAGAAGCGGTTTACATGACTTTGGTTGCCAACAAACAGTTTTTGCAGCAGCACAGAGTAAGTACCATGCAATGAATCCCCAAGCATAAACTGGTAAGTCAAGGGCCCAGGATAAGAGCACTCTTAAGAGCAGAGGCCTTGAAAGAAAAGGACCATGGGAAACTGAGAGGTCACCTCTCACTGACCTGTACTGTGTTAGCAAAACTCATCAGCATTGAACAATGGCCTTTGACCCAACTGTGTAGGTCCTGCCATGCTAGAGTTGGGGTTACTAGGTGGAGAATAAAGAAAGTTAATAGTGGCTCTAGCTTTGAAAGGAGGAAAGACAATAAGGGATGAGTGGCCAGAGAGAAGGTAAGAGTGGGTTGTTCAGGAGAGACAAGGAGAAAAGAAAGGGTACACGATCTCAGAAGAACAATCCCCGAGGGGTGGAGGTAAGAAGCCATGTGCCCAAACAGTAGAGTGGTTACTGCCCACTTACTCTTTGCTCAGGGGATTTGATTGTAACCAACTTCCCATCTGTGTGCAGGTCACGGTCTCCTTTTGCAGGGACTTAGCCCTTGACAACAGCAGTGAAGCTATAGGGGTCGGAGGGCGGCCATGCGTTAGGATAGGAGAGAATCATGCTTTTCCTTGGCAATGGTATGAAATAAGGACTAGTTAAAATGGGGCTGAAAAAAATAAAACCTACCTTCCTGCCACTGTGCAGGTGAAAGTAATCATATTTGAAGCAACCGAGAGGTAGTAGGAGGTGATGTGTGTCATCAATGGGCCTCCATGGTGGTAAAGTGCAGGGTGAGCCATCCAGCCTTGGTGCCTCCAACTGGATGCTTGAGCTAGGAGGAACACAATAGGACTGGTGCTTACCCCTCAAGGAATCAGTGAAGTTGCCATCTTGGAAGCCCATGCTGAGTGGGTTGGCCATCAAGTTAGTTCTTTAGCACCTCAGCTTAACTAAACGATTGTCTTCAATCTCTCAACCTTTTTTCTTTTAATGGCTTTCATTTCCCATTTGAATAAATACTTTGACCAAAATTTTGTCAATGCCTTTCATACTATCCTTCCATCAACAAACTCCATCCCAAGGCCCATACATAAGAAATCTTATTGCCTCTGCCTGAAAAAGCATAGCCCCTGTGACAGTTGTTTCAAATTGATGACCCTCTCCGTTTAAGAAGAAGGTACCATCTGCAAAGAACCTCCTCCAGGTCCTTATGAGGTGAGCTTTGGCTAGTCACATTCATGGTGCCAGGCTCTTGAAATTGCCTAATGTGTCAGTTAGATGCAGTGTCCACCACTTAATAACAAAAATCCCTACCAACCTGATTGGTTTCACACACAGAAAAAGGCAGATACTGATGCTGGGTTTCTATGAGTATCATTATCTTTCCTTGGATTATTGTATAGGATGACTTGCTGTTGCCCCCACCATTGCATCTTTTCTTCTAGATTGAAATCATGTAGGGGAAGAGGAAGAAGGACTAATACCATTATGTTGAGAAACTATAACTTTTATCCCGTGTCTAAGTTAGGGTATCTATTGCTGTGAAGAGACACCATGATCTTTAATTGCAGTGGCTTGCTTAGAGTTCAGAGGTTCAGCCCATTATCATCACAGCAAGGAGCATGGCAGTGTACAGGCAGACAGCTGAGATTCCTACATCTTGCAGGCCACAGGAAGGCGACTGAAACACTGGGCGGTATCCCGAGCATAGGAAACCTCAAAGCCTGCCCGCACAGTGATACCCTTGCTCCAACAAGGCCTTACCTACTCCACCAAAGCCACACTTATGAGCTTATGGGGGCCAATTACATTCAATCTACCATAGTCCACTCCCTGCCTCCCCATATGCTGGTAACAATATCATAATGCAAAATGTATTTAGTACAACTTCAAAAGTCCCCATAGTCTGTCACAGTCTCAATAGTGTTTTAAAGTCCCAAGTTCAAAGTCTTTTCTGAGATTCATGCAATCTCTCAATTACCTGTAAAAATAAAAAAAGCAGATCACATATTTCCAACATGTAATGGCACAGTATCTACATGACTGTTCCAAAACTCAGGGAAGGGGTCATAGCACGGAAATACTGGACCAAAGCAAGATCAAAAAACGCTCTGGGCAAACTCCAAAATCTGCATCTCCATGTCTGATGTCAAAACACTTTCATATCTCCAACTCCATTCAGCTTCCTTGACTACAACACACTTCTTCCTCTTGGGATGGTTTCACTCCCTGTTAGCAGCTCTCCTCTGCACCCATCCCACAACCCTGGCATCTCTAACATCTTGGGCTCTTCAAGGCAATCCAGGTTCAACTTCACAGCTTCACACAATGGCCTCTCTACAAGGCCTCCATTCAGGGACAACCCTGACTCATGCCTGGCCTCGGTGGCTTTTCTTAGTCTTTGGGGCAAATGCTGTAACCTGTTTCTTTTATCCTTAACTCTAAAGCCAGAACCTCCTGGCTGAAGCTGCTACGTTCTGCTGCTTGCTGGGACTGGAACATGGCATCTTATTCAATTACATCTTGACCAGCTTTCTGGTTTTGATCGTTACTTTCACTGCCTAAGCTTGGTTGTCCTTGAACTTGCTCTGTAGACCAGGCTGGCCTCAAACTCAGAGATCCACCAGCCTCTACCTTCTGAGTGCTGGGATTAAAGGTGTGCACCACCACACCTGGCTCTAAGCTTTTCTTTAATTCCTTTCCATCAGTTGGAAATTCATCTGGGTGGGATTTTTGCCTTTAGGCAACCACTGCCTTTATTTACATTTCTTAATCTGTTTATCTCTTGACCATAGAACTTAGTTTAGCTCCATTCCACTTTCTGGTACTCTTTTTTCTCTTCAAGTATTTTTCTTAGCTCAGCTTGCTCATTTTCATTATAAACCTTTATCAGAGTTAACACTAATAACCATACAACAGAGTCTATACTAGGCTGTTTTGAGATTTCCACTGCCAACTGAATTAATTAATCCAAAAGCCTCAGGCAGACTCTTTGGACAAGGTCAAAAAGAAGCCACTTTCTTCACCAGAATATCACAAAAGCAGTCTCTAGGCCACGTACTAACATTTTTCTCCTCTGAAACCTTATGACCCCCCATAGTTCAGCATTACTAGTATGGCCCACTCCTTCCATGCTCCTACTAGTATGGCCCACTAAGCAGTGCTTAAAGCATTATGCTGCTTTCTTAACCCAAACTCCCAAAGTCCATATTACTCCAAATAAAAACATAGTCAGGCCAATCACAGTAATACCCCAGTCCCTATTACCAATTTCTGCTGCAGTGAAGAGACACCATGACCTCAGAAACTCTTACAAAGGAAAACATTTAGTTGGGGTGGCTCAATTACAGTTCAGAGTTTCAATCCATTATCATGGTGGGAGCATGGCAGCATACAGGCAGACATGATGCTGGCAAAGTAGCTGAGAATCTTACATCTTGCAAGCCACAGGAATTCCCCTGAAACACTGGGTGGTATCTTGAGCATGGGAAACCTCAAAGCCTGCCCCCACAGTGACACACTTGCTAAAACAAGGCCACACCCACTCCAACAAAGCCACATCTCCTAATAGTGCCACTGTATGAGATGATGGGGGCCAGTTACATTCAATTTACCACACCCTGCATGCCTCACTGGGCCTAACAGGCTACACAAGGCCATGCCCAACAACAGGAAAAGTGGGAGCTATAATTCCTGGCTGATCTACTGGTTTCTAGAATAATCTTGAGTTGCTCACAGTAAGGAAGAGGAAGTAGCTCCTGGGAGGCCCTGTTTTCTTTCCTTTTCAATTCCCTTCTCACAGACCATCTGATAGACAGCTGCACCCCGGCAAGTGGCTTCCCATTGTACTCTTAAGTGTTTTTCATGCTTCCCAGCCTTCACAGCTCTTCAGCCTCAGCATCACTTTTCCATGGTCATTCCCCATCAGTCTTACCTTTCCTTGAGTCCAACAAAGCTGTCTCCTACCTTGCGGCTTTCATGCATTTGGTCCCCCCTGCCTGCTGTGCTCTTCCCCTATTAGGTGTGCAGGAAACTCTCTCAT